CTTCTTGTTGCAAACTTGTATAAACACACACACACACACACACATATATATATATATATAACTATACATATCACTAGAAAAATTCATATTGAAAAAAACTCATTGGTATGGAGTGTATAAGAAACAATAATGAATGAAACCCTAATTTTGAAAAGATAGAAGGTGAACTTGTTATTAAAAGGGTATGTATAGCATGGGATGGACTTGATTAATATGAGATGGGTATAGAATGAGTAAACTTAGTAGTTTGATTATAAAAATTTTGATGAAGTGGGAATGGATATTTGTGGGGGTGGAAATAATCTCACCCAAACTTCTTGCACCATTAATAATCCTTATAAATCATGCTCTACTCTCCCTTTAAATAATAATAATTACAAATATGTATTTATATTTTATTTTTATATTATTTATATAAATGCAATACATGCATTTGGGTTGAACTCAGGTTGGATTCGAATTAGGTTCGGGTTAAACCTGGAAACTTGAGCTCTTAACTCAAATCTTGGCTGAATTTAATTCGAGTTGATGTTTTTCAATCCTAACCTTAACCCTAACCCTAAAAATCTCAACCTTAACACTATTTTTTTCGGGTTGAATTCATGATTCACCCAAGTTACACCCCTACTATTACAGATTCATTTTGGTATTGAAAAGTATTTTTTTTGGGTATTATATCTCAATTTTTTTATTAATGAAAAAATCGTGTGTATAATTTTTATTTATTTATTATTTTTCAATCATTGATCGAAACTTATCCAATTCAAGCGTTCATATGTGAACTTACAAAATTTCGATGAAATCACAATTAAATCAAATATTACTATTTATTATATCCAAACTCATTAAATGTAATAAAAATTATACAAATTCAAATTAATAATCAAAAGTAAAAATTTATCAACAATGCTACATACACTATGTTTTTGCACCACCTCAATACCAACTATTAAACCGGTGGGTCCTGTTGAATGCTTTGAATATTTTAAAATTCAGACCANTGCCTAATTCGGGTTGTGTAAAGTTCTTTCATTTATAGTCTCAATTTTATATTTTTTACTTTTCTCATATTAGTTGCGTAAATTTTTTGGGTGGGAACACAAATATATATTCCCGTTCCATTAAAATTTTTATTTTCAAACAACCAAGTCTACCTCTTTTATATCCATCTCATGTTAACTAAATTCACCACATGCTATATACACCCCTTTTATAACAAGTCCACATTTTATCTTTTCATAACTAGGGTTTCATTTCCTGTCTCATCTCATAAAACATTACACAAAAGAATTTTTTTTAATATGGGTTGATAAGTAAGATTAGTGCATCACTTCATGTATGTGTACATTATCTAATTCTATTATAACTTACGTCAAAATAACCTCTATTAGATTAACATGAGGAGGAGGAGTAGCTTGTGTTGCTATAGTGTGAATAACAATATTAAATTTTCTTTGAATGGACACAAACTAAATCAAAAAAATCTGTTGAGTATATCTACGAGAATAATTTATAAGTAATCAACAAATTTACAATACTTCGTTTTTCCTTCTTGTTGCAAACTTGTATAAACACACACACACACACACACACATATATATATATAACTATACATATCACTAGAAAAATTCATATTGAAAAAAACTCATTGGTATGGAGTGTATAAGAAACAATAATGAAAGAAACTCTAATTTTGAAAAGATAGAAGGTGAACTTGTTATTAAAAGGGTATGTATAGCATGGGATGGACTTGATTAATATGAGATGGGTATAGAATGAGTAAACTTAGTAGTTTGATTATAAAAATTTTGATGAAGTGGGAATGGATATTTGTGGGGGTGGAAATAATCTCACCCAAACTTCTTGCACCATTAATAATCCTTATAAATCATGCTCTACTCTCCCTTTAAATAATAATAATTACAAATATGTATTTATATTTTATTTTTATATTATTTATATAAATGCAATACATGCATTTGGGTTGAACTCAGGTTGGATTCGAATTAGGTTCGGGTTAAACCTGGAAACTTGAGCTCTTAACTCAAATCTTGGCTGAATTTAATTCGAGTTGATGTTTTTCAATCCTAACCTTAACCCTAACCCTAAAAATCTCAACCTTAACACTATTTTTTTCGGGTTGAATTCATGATTCACCCAAGTTACACCCCTACTATTACAGATTCATTTTGGTATTGAAAAGTATTTTTTTTGGGTATTATATCTCAATTTTTTTATTAATGAAAAAATCGTGTGTATAATTTTTATTTATTTATTATTTTTCAATCATTGATCGAAACTTATCCAATTCAACCGTTCATATGTGAACTTACAAAATTTCGATGAAATCACAATTAAATCAAATATTACTATTTATTATATCCAAACTCATTAAATGTAATAAAAATTATACAAATTCAAATTAATAATCAAAAGTTAAAATTTATCAACAATGCTACATACACTATGTTTTTGCACCACCTCAATACCAACTATTAAACCGGTGGGTCCTGTTGAATGCTTTGAATATTTTAAAATTCAGACCAGACCATGCTACATTAGATGGTATAGGCACTGTAATGCTTGTATCATTATTGAAAATTTATACCTGATTTAAATCAGATTTGGATCCAATTGCTTGTCATTCCTATATTTATATGAGTAAATATTCAATGTAACGGTGATATCATGTTATCATTGTCACTTGATATCATCAATCAAAAATAAAACATGAAATAGGCAAGGTGAACCTACTTGAATAATTATTGATTTACATAAAAGAAAAGTGACTAGTTACTAGCTTTCATGGCCAGATAGTGATTGATTTATATGAGATCTAATGGTATTCGAAATCAATTGACCTACCTACAAAATAATTTGGGGTGTGGCTTAGGGGGAATGATGATGAGCCTAGGAGACACAAAGCGTGTTGGGTGTAACAAGTGAGTCAAAGACAACAATACGAGTGATTCACTTATAAATCGAATGATTAAGGTTATGTTCATTGTAAGAAAAACTCTTGTTTTTTGAAAATTGTATTATTTAAGAGAGAGAGTTGTTGTCGCAAGGTATTTGGCTATAGTCCTTTTATAGAGTATTTCTTAGGTTACTACAGAGTGATCTTTTTCCATTCCTTTACACAATGACATCGTTTGCTATTTATACATCCTATTACTAGGGTTTTGCGGTGATTCCTTTCCGCACTGATTTTGTGGTCTCCTCCTTGTTTGTCCTGTTGCTGATCTTGTCATTCCTAATGCTTTTATTTACCCATTTTGCCTTGAACAAAATACGTGAGTTATCTCCACATCGGCAGATATTCGTTTGTAAGTATTGTCCTCTTATCTCTTGTTTACGTGTTACGGTACGACCATTTGTGAACTACTTGGTGCCGAGCTCTCAATTCCCGAGCAGGTATTAGTACCGAGCTTTTTGATGCCAAGTTAACATCTATTTTGAGCTGAATTATTCTGACCTTCTATGGAGCTGGGCTATGGTTCAACTCGGGCACGGTGAATGTTGCTTTGATGAGGCGTTTGAGTTGACTTGTGCGAGTCCAAAAGGATTTTGGGTTTTGGAAAGGGCCTAAATTTAAGGAAAATTTAAAAGTCAATCTCCTTATATGGACTTATTTTGACTTAAATCTGTCAAAAAAAATTATTTGTTATGGAGTCTATTTTTTGTTAATTTTATCATACTATCCATTTATTTTAGAAGTGAAATAGAACTAAAAATTAAAAACTCCTAAATCTTAGGAGTTTAACTAATATTACNTATCATACTATCCATTTATTTTAGAAGTGAAATAGAACTAAAAATTAAAAACTCCTAAATCTTAGGAGTTTGACTAATATTACAATTTTTTCTCTCTCATATCTATCTATATCTATATATAGGTTAAGAGTTTGACTAACATTAAAATTTTCTCTCTCATCTTTATATATATCTATATATAAGTTAGGTATACGTATATATATAATAACATTAAAAATAAAAAATAGTAACATTTAAATATAAAAACAAGTTATCATTTGGACACAAAAAATAATACATTTAAACACAAAAAAATAGTAACATTTAAACATAAAAAAAATTGAAACATTCAATATTAATATTTTTAAAAAATAACAATAGTAAGGTGTTCAATAAAAATATTAATATGTTCAACAAAAATAGTAATATGCTTAACAAAAACTGTAACATATTTAACAATAATTATTTCTTTCAAATTCAAACGCAAAAAATAGTATTATTCAAACACAAAAAATAGTAATATTCAAAAACAAAAAAAATAGTAACATTGAATATTAATATTTAAGAAAATAACAGTAATAACATGCTCAATAAAAACAGTAACATGCTCAAAATAATAGTAACATACTCAACAAAAGTAATAACATGAACAATAACATAATAAAAAAAATAGTAATATGAAACATTCAATTTAACAAATTAACCCCCACGAAAAATACCACAAATTATAAAAAAATAAAAAATTAACAAGGATCAGAGATTCTCATCCGTTTACCCACAAAATTGACATAATTCATAGAAAATTAAAAGATAAACATTGATGAAACAACACCACTAGCTGATCGTAGAGAGAGAGCTTTGAATTTGAATTTTAAATTTATAATGGAGATTTTATTGACATATTTTAATTGACATTGAATTCAGGGATAATTATATCCAAAATAGGAAATTAATTTAACTTTCTTTCAAGGAAGGGTATTTTTAAGATAAAAAAAAATGGACTTAAATTATTACGTATAATTTTAAACTTCTTATAAGTTTTCTTGTAGGACTTATCTCTAAACAAATACATTTACGAGGACTCATTTCCAATTTTCGCTAAATTTTTAAATCTATTATCACGAGGATCCATTTCATTACTTGTTTGCAAATTATTAATTGATAATGTCATATAATAATGTTAACGTAATTGGATATTTTCTCTATATATAGACCCTCACCCTTCACACAACTAAAATCACAGCACCACTTCCCAGCAACCATCCTCTACCTGCCCAAACACAGAGCAAAGCCTTTAGTACTACAACAAGCTTCTGGTACTTCTTCTCAGTTGGGTATTTACATCAACCATGGCCATGCAGTCCTTCCTTGCAAGCTCAATGACCCTTGTCTCAGGTAGCACTAGGGTTTCCCAGTTTGTTCCTTCCATCTATGTACCGAGCTTGCAGAGGAATGCCAACTTCCGAGTCCGTTCCATGGCTGAGGTAGGTCTCCAAACTATCTGACTTGCAGATCACTGATCTGATCAAGGTTTTAAAATTTTCGTTTCGCTTCATTATTTCGATCACTTAAAAATATTGAAAACAAAAATGTTTGAGAATAATTTTCAAAATATTTCAAAACATTGGGTTAAATATATCAAATCCACATATATTGCCCAAACTACTCAAAAATATTCTTTTTTTGGTTTCGCTGGCAGGACTGTCAAGAATGTCCAGACCATGTGAATTTTGATTAATTTTTTTTTCAATTTTGTCAAAGATAGATAATTTACGTCGAGATTAAGATATGATGAAAGATATATTTAATGCTCAATTTTATCACCATTTAAACTACTAAAAAATATTCAAAAATACTCAAAACATTGGGACGTTAATTCAATCATTGATTCATCTCAATCTTCTTCGAAATAAAAATATTTTGATGCTATCTACAATATATTGAAGGTAGCTTTTCACTGTTACCTCTTTCGTGGGAAAACAAAACCCTAATCGTCTGTGTTTTTGCTTAGCAGGAAGGTGAAAAGGAAGTATCAACTCCTGTTAGATCAAAGGTGATGACAACGTCATGAGGAATAGACACACAAGTCATTTTGTTTGGTGTATAGCTATTAATATATTCATAGTTTGAGGGAGTTGTGTGTATTAGTTGGAATATGACCAATATCATCATACTAGGAACAAAATGTGTTAATTTAATTTAAAGAAATGAAATTCTGACTTAAATGAGATTTGAGGTACGAAATAGAAATTTTTTTTTGTTATTTGAAGTGATTATTGGTTTTTTTTTATTTTTTATTTTTGATTCAACGGCCGGGAGTATCCAGACTAACTTACGTGTATTTCTGTTAATTCTTTTCATGGCTCGATCAAAGGTAGATTATTTACGANGAAATGAAATTCTGACTTAAATGAGATTTGAGGTACGAAATAGAAATTTTTTTTTGTGATTTGAAGTGATTATTGTTTTTTTTTATTTTTTATTTTTGATTCAACGGCCGGGAGTATCCAGACTAACTTATGTGTATTTCTGTTAATTTTTTTCATGGCTCGATCAAAGGTAGATTATTTACGCCGAAATTAGGAAATTTATAAAGAATAAATTTCATACGATTTAGTTTTAAGGAGTTTATAAAGAATAAATTTCATACGATTTAGTTTTAAGGAGTTGTTAAGATTTGAATTTAAGACTGAGTTTACGGCTCGTCTCTCTGTGACTTGAGTTACCTCTCAAATTTCACAAATATACTTTTGTTTCAGTTTTATTCTTGACGGATTATCAATCATTAATTGGTGGGAGATTTTTTTGTATATAATAGGGTTATAATGGGTGACCCTTAAATGCATGTTGTGATTGGTGAAAAAAAAAATTAGAGAAAAAATTGATAGGAGGGGATTTTAGTATGATGTGGGTTTTATTATCATTATTTTATAAATAATGCTATTAAGACTTAAAAATTTAACCTAATATGTTAATATAATAATATGAATTTATTATAACTATTAAATTAACACAAAATTTTAATGTTTGAATGGAGTTACAATAAATTAGATACTATCAGCATTACTCTTATTTAATATCAACATCATTGTCTAAGGTGTAGCAATTGATTACAGGTCAGCACAAAATTTTCGGATGTGTTAGCATTCAGTGGTCCAGCACCAGAGAGGATCAACGGCAGATTGGCGATGATCGGCTTTGTTGCAGCGATCGGGGTAGAATTGGCCAATGGTCAGGATGTGTTCACCCAGTTATCGGACGGTGGGATACCATGGTTCCTTGGCACCAGCATTGTGCTGTCACTGGCATCTTTGATCCCTCTGTTCAAAGGGGTCACTGTGCAATCTAAATCAGAGGGGCTAATGACTTCAGATGCAGAGCTGTGGAATGGGAGATTTGCTATGTTGGGTTTGGTTGCTTTGGTTTTTACTGAGTATTTGAAAGGGGGTGCTCTTGTGTAAGGGCTTAAAATATTGGGGGTCATATGTTAAATGTATGGGAATGCTATTATATGTTTTCATCCTTAAATGGAGAGATTTGTCAAATTGAAAAATAATGCCCTTCTTTTTCCTGCATTCTTCTAAATGTTATGCTACCTTCTTTTTTTTTTTTTTTTGATTCAACAATCAAGAATGTCTACATTAATTTATGCATATCTCGATTAATTTCTAAGGGTGTAACTTGAGTTAGGCAACCCGATTTAAATCCGAGCTCAATTCGAAAAAATTAGGACTTAGACAAGAGTTTTTAATACTTGGGTTAGACTTGGGTCAAAAAATTCTAACCCGAATTCAATTTGGGTTGGTCTCGGGTTCATGGGTTCAACCCGAATCCGACAAATAAAAAAAATATTATATATATATATATATAAAGGGTTAACACTGATAAAATCATTTTTGTTCTATCGTTATCTGTCTCTCTAAGATTATTTTGGGCTCTATCCAAACTAAACCCGTAAAATAACCCAAAATTAGTCCAAAATCATTAACTCGAATTCAACCCAAACCCCCCNTTTGTTCTATCGTTATCTGTCTCTCTAAGATTATTTTGGGCTCTATCCAAACTAAACTCGTAAAATAACCCAAAATTAGTCCAAAATCATTAACTCGAATTCAACCCAAACCCCCATGAATTAAACTCAAGCAATGCTCGAGTTGAGTTTCTCAACCCGAAATAGGATTAAAGTTAGGATTATAATTTGATTGTCCAATCCGCCCGAGTTACACCGCTACTAATTTCATACCCTCATGTCAAAGGCATACGATCCACGTTAAGTCTAAAATATTCATAAGAAATAAATCTCTTATAACTTAACTTCATGAAATTATCAAAATTCAAATTCATCACGTCTAAATTTACAGGTAGTTCCTATGTTTCTATTATCACTTGTACTACCATTGAAATTAATGTGCAGCTACATCGAAAATAGATCCTCTTGAAAGGCATAAATTGTTTTTTTAACAGTTCAATTCCATCTAAGCTGTTTCTAATTTGGGCCATAGAGCCTCATTTTTTATTTTTTTTGGAAGGGAGAGGAAAAACTTGGGTCTTTAACCTCAAGAAGACAAANAATTCCATCTAAGCTGTTTCTAATTTGGGCCATAGAGCCTCATTTTTTATTTTTTTTTGGAAGGGAGAGGAAAAACTTGGGTCTTTAACCTCAAGACGACAAAACCTTGACAAGNTTGTTTTTTTAACAGTTCAATTCCATCTAAGCTGTTTCTAATTTGGGCCATAGAGCCTCATTTTTTATTTTTTTTGGAAGGGAGAGGAAAAACTTGGGTCTTTAACCTCAAGAAGACAAAATAAAGAATATCATTGGACCAAAGGCCGTTGAATGGATTACATGAGCCAAACCTGATAATATACCCACGACAGATCCGGATTCGGATTCATTTGTAACTTTTTTCTTCCATTTTTTCTTAATTTTCTCAATGGAGAGAGAGAGAGAGAGAGAGAGAGAGAGCACTTCACATTTTAGAGTATGCATATCATAAAACTGGATTTGAGGCAGCTCTCTTATTCATTACATTGGAGATGCCTCAAACCCAACTAATAGCAAAAGCCCCTCAACACTCTTTCAGACATATAAACATAAAAGAATTATAAGAATAAATTTATGCTCTTCATCTGTGAATATATACATAAACGGGAGTGACAGTCTTTTAGTGGGGTTATCTTCCATTCATACCAATGCCTCTACCTGAGTTCCATGCCCATTCAATCCAGTCATCTCACCTTGTTGTCGCTGCTCGGACTCGCTTCCTGTATAATTATCCTGTTCCCCCACAATTACCAACCAGGTCAAGTTATACAAAGGTCAGATCTATGGGCACAAAATTGTCTTTGTTAAATAGAGACAGCGAATATAGTTTTAAAAACAGCACAATAGCTTTATTATAGAGGTTAAATTGTCAAATAGTGGTTACATCATCTCCCTTCCTCGCACTATGCTCATCAAAGTCTTTTTGAAAAGGAACTAGAATTAGAGTTCAGCTCAAGACAATACTGTATCTAATAGTCACCTCCCCAGAAACTAAGAAACTCAATCTACACTCTGGCCTAAACGAAATGTGGTGTTAACAAGAATGCGTAAACATAAAACCCTAGTCAATTCTAAACCCCTAAACGAAAGTGACAAATCTAAATAAAAAACAATCAATGCAATGAAGTTGTTCGTTTTAGGCAGAAACCTTTAGGGTAGGGTGGGTGGGGGGATGAACGAAGATGTTGTGTTCCTTTAGGTACCAGTTGGCTTTGATTGTAAAGTCTTTGGGTACACAAAATTAGAGATGCCTTCATCAAGGTTCACGTTAACTATGGAGATGAGCGAGTATACAAACGAAAAAATCAGACAACACGGTACCATAAAATATATATAGCGGAAAGTGCAAAACAAACATTGGATAAGTTCATAACATATTTGGAGCATTTTATTTTGATTTTTTTCACAATATACACACCCACACCTATCCAAGTAGGGCCCCAAAAGGGTTGCACCCATCACTGACACTAAATAAGATGCTTGGATCATATAAAGGGACATAAAATACTTACTTCTACAGGGAGGTCAACTGGGAACAAATTTATGCTTCTGGGATAAAAACTGAAACCACTGCAGAAAAGGCATGTCAGAAGATGAAGTAATCAGCCTGGAGGTAAATACAATAAATAAAAAAAATTCATTAAGTCCCCAAAGTGGATTGGACCAGATCAAACATGAAGTTTCTAAACATGCAAAGCGCGACAAGCCAGAATGAATGGACATTATACAAATTTATTGGCACAAAATTATAGGGAGCAACAGAATGAAATTCTGGTGACGTAGCAGTATATCTTCCCTTTTTATCTTATTTACGGAAGGGTCAATGTAGACAAAAATTGGGCGTCCATTCTAACTGCCCAAGTAATGCTTACTCCTACAAGCCTGGACACTTCATTTTTGCCAAGAGTGTTGGTATCGGATACACCAAAATGAGTGTCTGGTTATTTTCTTACTATATTTTTTTTGGACAAGTTTTGAATACATGACATGAAACACGATCAACACGTTTTGAGTTTTTTTAAAAAACTTATCAACAAAGTTTATAAATAAGGAAGCTATTTTTGTAGTATTAAAGAGATACGAGTTAAAAGATATAATAATAAAAAAAAAAAAGTTATAATCACTACATGGATTTAGGACCACCGATATAAACATAATTTTGTACACGATTACGAAATTACATACAAAATGAGATACACCTTTTATATGAAAGTAATGTGATGAGAAATAAGGTTCTGAAACTGAGCCCTTTGAAATTAAATGAAAATTAAGGTTATGATATGGAACATTTTTTAAAATTAAAATTGTAGTTTTCATTGATTGTTGGACCATGGATGTTTATGGTGAGTGCATTGGTTCAATATTTTATTTTTTATTCAATGATTTCGTAATGTAAATTGTTAGGATCATAGAAATGATGAATTCAATGATTATTGTTAATATATATTTATTTCATCATATGATCATATATATACACACATAGTATTTAGCATGTTTCCCAATGTGTTGATGTCCTAATTTTTGAAAAATTTTGTGTCAACATGTCTGTTATATCGTGTCTGTGCTTCTTAGGTAAAGTCCTGGATTCATCTGCGGAGTGAAGTATACCTGCGAGTCACAACTAGCTGCCAAACATAAGGAATGAAAAACTCCTCGGGGTGACTCTCTTGTTCGTATGTAAAGCGTAATTGAGTAAACATCTGTCAAAAAAACTCAATTACAGAATACATAGAAATGATATCACAAAAGGTGTAAACATCAGATAAGACAGTTAATACAAACATTTGCTTTATACCTTCATTCCTTCACCTCTCCAAGATCGACAATTAATGATTATGACTTGGAGTACTTTCTCCACAGACCATTCACCATCCATTTTATGGGCATCCATGCGGCTATTGAAAAAATCCAAGACCTACAAATCAAGGACAGTTTAGCAACTGTCAACTAACCTTCCCATTTTATTAAAATTTTGCAAATGTACAAAAAAAAATAATAATAAAAAGGGTTCTAATTGCAAAGACTGTTTCACATCCTCGTACATGCAAGCGTGCATCATTTCTTAAAATAAAAGATCAGGTGCTTACATTAAATATGTTCTCAAGCAGCTCAATAAAGCGTGGATGGTCCTTGAAAGGCTGAAATACCTCCTGTCTGTGCATAATTGCATAAACAACCTGTCCCAATGTAGACAATGAAGCATATGTAACACATGGGAAAAAAAAGAATTGTGTATCACATCAGTAGTATATAGTTGTCAAGTATTGTTGTGTGTGTGTCAGGAGAAACTAAAAACTGATACCTCGGGATTCCGCGGCAATGCATAAGTTAGGATTGCATTCAATATTTCTAGAACAATTCTCAGGAAGTCAGTATAAATATACAATTCCGTTGACTGCAACAAATGGAATCTAGCTTAGCAATACAACATTCTAAAGCTCATATTGAAGCCAGATAGTATTGAAAGTGTGCTGGTAATTAGAAAAAAGACAGTACTACCATATCTTCTGGAAGGCTGTCACCTTCTCTTAAGTCACCATTGCCTATATGCATCTTGTCGTTTTTCTGCTCTGCTAATTTGTTGTACCTGGATTTTAATTTGCATTGAAAAAAAACATAAGAGACCCAACTGGAAGCCTAAGGAAGTTAATAAGCTATTAAGAATTCAATATAATAGAAATATGGCATGGTAGTAGAACAACAGCCACATGAAGCAAGGGACGTACTTGCGTGCGAGCATATCGAAAAGGCTGACCAATCTCTGTGATGAATATGCACTTAGACGGTGGACATGAGGTGCCATGTTCGCCAAGGTTGCAAGACAATTTGTATGTAGATAAACATCCTGTTCCAATTGAGTGTTACATATTGGGGATGACTTCGTGAAACTCACAGGAATTTTTCAATCCCTATTTTCATGTGTTAAATCTCCACAGGTTTGTTGAAATATTTATCAACTAGTCATAACCCGTGCCTGAAGGCACGATAAAATATAAAATTCGAGAGTCCAAAAAATCGAACCCACTATATTAAATTTTTTCAAAATATATTAACTAAAAATTAATTAACTATTAAATGATTAGATATATAATAGAAATGAGTAGTGTGATATTTTTAGGGAGGAAATATATAAATGATTAAATATGTGATAGAAATGAGTGATGTAATTTGACGTTTGAGCCAGACAAAGGGATGATAGGTGAGGTAAGTGATTGGTGATGATTTTGAGAGGGAAAATATGACTGGGATAAAATTCAACAAAACTTCTGTTTTATTATATAGATATGTAAACTAACTACATAATGATTTACATCATAGAAATTATAGTTAACATCAATGACCAAATTGACGGTCACATCCATAAAGCTATCAATAATACTACTGTTAACTCATTTATGTGCTAAGAAGTAGGTCTACAAGGTCTTCTGCATGAAGCTCATTCTTCTCTGATTATTGATTAGACCAATTTTGTAATGCAGGCAAGCAGGAGATACTGGCGCATTACAAAAAAGACCAGCCTAAGTGGTCATAAAATTAAGAAGGATTTGGTGCATCACAACATATGCAAAGTTTCCATTCATCACTTTCACATTTCTAAATCATGAGATCCTGAGATGGAGAAGTATGTTGTTCTCTGTTCCTTTTACTTCTGGTTCATAATTTTTTTTCAAGAAAAAGCAATATCTTCTCTCTTCCAACGGGGTCTGTTAGTGCAAATGTTCTTTTTTCGTTCTGATACAATCCCATCCTTTAATTCATAACAAGTAGAGAACTACAAAATGTCAATACGGATTGGACATTACTTTCAGTTTTAAAGCATTGTCTTGTTCTAATATAAAGGAAAATGACTACAAATCTGGTCCCCGCTAATTGAAGGTGCTAGATGGAGTGAACCAGAGTAAAACCTAACCTTCAGTGTTATTTGCATAAAGCAGTTACCCGTAGATATTTAATCCACAACCACACGGTTGTTTGCCAGCAAATAAATGAATTTTCTAAAACAGGAAAACATTTATTTTAATGATTAATGAGGTCCCAAAGTTCTGCATACAGTCAAGAGATAATTTCAACCCTAGGTTGGTATACAATCTTTTATGAAAGAAAAGATTGAGAATTATGAACTATGAAAGAAATATACAATCCTTTGGTCGGATTTGCAGGACTTCAATTGGAGTTGAGAAAATATTGAGAAATTTTATTTTATGAAACAAAAGAAAATATACAATAAAGATACACAGATATCTACTAAAATTTCTTCAGGACAAATATCTCTTTGTTTTCTCCCTTTATATCATGCCTCGTGAATATTTCTTCAGGTAAATATCTCTCTGTTTCTTCCTGACAAAGATACACAGATATCTACTAAACTTTCACCAAATATAGTTTTTTTTTTATTGGCATCAACAACAATCCTAACAAATGACAATCAGCAAATTGGCAAAATCAGACAACGCAATTTCATAATGAAACATTCAGATGTGGTCTGTTATATGACTCATATCATCCATATCACTTTTCAACTTAAGCAAGAAATCTACCACACCAATCTTAGAAAACTCCCAATATATATTTCATTTTTAGATATCACTTCTCAACTGAAGCAAGAAATCTACCACACCAATCTTAGAAAACTCCCAATATATATTTCATTTTTAGATATCACTTCTCAACTGAAGCAAGAAATCTATCACGTCAATCTTAAAAGGCTCCCAATATATATGTAAACATAGAAATTTATGCTGAAATAGATTCATCAGATCATACCCGCAGCTTAGACAGGTTGTACTTCACAGTCCTTATTAGAATTATGACCATGAGAGAGCCAAGAGACGTTTCATGAAGACGGCGCTCCTGGTACCAAGGGACACTAGGCAGTATCTGTTTCAATAAAAACTTAGAAAAAATGATCCTATGGAGATAGATAAATAAATCCGTACAAACACACTCCTTACCAGCTTGTGAATGCTGGCATTGAAAGAGGAATCCTGACTTAGTATAAGAAGTATAATCAACACCATATAGATTTGATTGGATGTCCTTCTCGAGACATTATATAGCGTTTCCAGCATGGGCAACAACTGTTTATATCATTGTAGAAACATGTGGTAAACAAACTGTGTGGGATTGAGTAACATAAGTTCAATCATACAATAAAACAATAAAAGCATATATTTTATTAAGGCAGATGTTAGATGATTCCCCCCCCCCCCCCGGGCGGGGGGGCCCCTTTTTTTTCTCTTTTCCTGGTAAGAACAAGTGTCATATGGGCATATGTGAAACCACAACAAACGTAATAGCAAACTTCGGTCAAACAGCACACGATACTAATTGAAGTTATAAATGCTCAGAAACCGCAGTCCATAATACATCTAATTGTTAGAATCTAACACACTTTCTGTTCTACTAATCTACAGATATGGTGAGTTTATATCTGAGAAATCTTTTGCAAAAGTTATGTGATGAAGGACTACGCGTGCTTTATTATCTCTTCATATCACGCAGATATTTTTTATCTTTTGCAAAAGATATATATGATGATTGACTATACTTGTTCTAGACTTATAGTACGCAATAACCTCAACCCCAACTAACAGAAAAAAAATGTACTTGCTGCTTCATACCAATGTATCTAGATCAGTCCGCACCAAAACATATTCCAGAAAGTCTGAGTTCCCCTGCACCAGTGAGTAAAGCAGAAGGACAGCAGTCTCATCAGCCAAGCACCTAAGGAGACAGAACAAGGTGCATCATACTCTAGAAACCGAAAGGATAAATACAATTTGATGATGGTGACCTGTACAAAGTATATGTACACTGTACATGTGTGCGCGCCCACGCGTTGAGTGAGAGAGAAAGGGGGGTGGGGGGGCGCAAGAGAGTAGCAAGTTTGTGCGTTTTCAGTTTCTGTTGTGGATTATAACTCAGACTAACAAAACAAAATCAAAATCACCTATTAACATCCACAAAGGTTCATATAGCAACTTTTCATTGTGGTAGTGGAAGGATGAAAAAGAAATGCAGTAAGAGTCAAGAGAAGAATCAATATGTAATACACGTGGCAAAAGTAACATAAGGATCATATAGGCAAGCTCTATCTTGGGTAAACTAAAATAAGAATCTTCTGCAGTAAAATCTTCTTTGTGCTTATGCACGTTGTAGAAGCCGATGATGATCAACTGTTATTAGGGTGGAACCCTATGCTCCAATAGCTTGGATGATGAAATTGAATGCAAGCTCTAATAAACAAAATTTTAAAAATTCCAAACATATGACTAAATTTAAATGTTCAAACAGAGGAAAAATTGGTAAATGTGGCCCAATTTTGAACATCTAACTTTAGTTTATGAGTGCAATTTTCCAGTACCGAGATAGAATAGACACTCACATGCCAAGAGTATCAAAGAGAGAAGCAAAAGGTAGTCTCACAAGTGGGCCATTGTGTGCATTCCCCTCAACATCCACTCGATCAACTGCAACAAGACAAAAACTTAGTTCCAAAAAAATTTGTTGTAGCAATTGAAAGATTACAAGAAAAAGAATCTCACATTCGATATCTCGAGCATTCTCTAAGGCCTTGCAATAAGGGTTTTCAGAAAAACATGTTTCTTCTTTTGGTGGAGAATCTGAACTGGGAATGCCCTTAATTCTATCTTTCACCGATTCCACCAAAACGCATTTACGATAATGAACGAGTACAAGTAAAATATTAAGGCTGCTGTCTGCCAAATGACTTGTTGAAGCTTCACCACTTGAATTGGCAAAGAAACTAAATGGCAATAGCACAAAACTTGCTGCAGTTCAAAATGAAAAAAGCAGCTTAAATTAGAAAATTACGTCAAAGTTCTCAAAACAAACAGAAGCATTAAACAAAAAAATACAAATTATACTTGAAAAAAAATCTGGTATAAAAGCCTGGTGTGATAAGGTGGGGATAGATTTGAAAATAATGGAAATTTAGAAACCCAACAAGAGCATGAGAATGTAGCTGCAAAATAGCAAAATCAGTACTAATTATAGCAAAAACCATGTAATTCTAGCTCTCCATTTTGAACAATGAGATCACAAGATAAAGGAAGAATCAAAATTTAACTACTTTGATCATTCACAAGACTTTTCACCCCATTGAAATGTCTCCATAGAGAGAGTACATATATAAATAAAAATCATGATTATTACTAAACAAAAAACATAAAAAGGATCTCCATACCGGCTGCAGAACCAACTCTCTGCAGGACACCAGGCTGGTTTCCTTCAGAAAATAGGTTATAAGACGAACTGCTTAATGCAAACCGGAGTTGTGTGATGTAATTAAGTAACAGTTTGCGAACAATCAAACCAACCAAAGAACTTTCCTGAAAATAAACCGGCACTTCAACATACCAACTATAATATCAAAAGATTGGCAGTTTTAACTTCAAGGAAAAGTGGGAATCCTTCTTCTTACCTGAGCCATCGCTGCATCAATGAAAGGGTGAACATCGTTTGGTCCCGGTGATGGCCCAGAAAGAAGCTGAGTAGACATTGTGATGAGCATGAAGTTAAGCAGTTCCTGGTGTAGGAGATATGTGTTGGCACTTGCAAAAAGAAATGGGCATAAAATCAGGGAAACAATATAAATGAAGTTGAACATCGAGAAGCATATTGACCAATCAATAACATACCTTACATCTACTTTGGCAATGAAACTCAGCACACTATGCATAACCAGATTTTCGATATTTTGATCTGATTTGAAAGATGGGAAAAATGCCGAAGTTAGGGAATAGAAACACAAATCATCAAACACCCATGTTCCAAGAATGGCCCGAAACTGAAAATTGGAGAATGTACCACAGACCCCCTAAACAGATAGTTCCAAATACTAACAAAACCAAAAACACCTAAAACTGTTCACATCACCCCGAAGAAGCCCCAAAACCCCTGCATTCATTGCCCTATCAAACCTAAGTCAGTCCCAATCCATCCCCCCACATGTAGAATTTCAATTTAAAACCAAAACACGCAATAAACTTCGTATCCAGAACCTCCACCAAGAGTACTCTTGATTTTAGGCAATTGTACATCTCAGAACCGCATCTAAAGATGGTTTTTTTCTTCCTCAAAACCTATAACATTCCTTATACCTTCATGAGAACTAACCCTAAAATTTTTTCACAAAATCAAATCTAACAGGCACAATTTCAGGTTCCTAAAGTCATCCTATCACACTAGATAAAAATCGTTATCTATAAAAACTTGATATCTTTGCTCTCCATNTTAAAAAAAAAAAAGTTATAATCACTACATGGATTTAGGACCACCGATATAAACATAATTTTGTACACGATTACGAAATTACATACAAAATGAGATACACCTTTTATATGAAAGTAATGTGATGAGAAATAAGGTTCTGAAACTGAGCCCTTTGAAATTAAATGAAAATTAAGGTTATGATATGGAACATTTTTTAAAATTAAAATTGTAGTTTTCATTGATTGTTGGACCATGGATGTTTATGGTGAGTGCATTGGTTCAATATTTTATTTTTTATTCAATGATTTCGTAATGTAAATTGTTAGGATCATAGAAATGATGAATTCAATGATTATTGTTAATATATATTTATTTCATCATATGATCATATATATACACACATAGTATTTAGCATGTTTCCCAATGTGTTGATGTCCTAATTTTTGAAAAATTTTGTGTCAACATGTCTGTTATATCGTGTCTGTGCTTCTTAGGTAAAGTCCTGGATTCATCTGCGGAGTGAAGTATACCTGCGAGTCACAACTAGCTGCCAAACATAAGGAATGAAAAACTCCTCGGGGTGACTCTCTTGTTCGTATGTAAAGCGTAATTGAGTAAACATCTGTCAAAAAAACTCAATTACAGAATACATAGAAATGATATCACAAAAGGTGTAAACATCAGATAAGACAGTTAATACAAACATTTGCTTTATACCTTCATTCCTTCACCTCTCCAAGATCGACAATTAATGATTATGACTTGGAGTACTTTCTCCACAGACCATTCACCATCCATTTTATGGGCATCCATGCGGCTATTGAAAAAATCCAAGACCTACAAATCAAGGACAGTTTAGCAACTGTCAACTAACCTTCCCATTTTATTAAAATTTTGCAAATGTACAAAAAAAAATAATAATAAAAAGGGTTCTAATTGCAAAGACTGTTTCACATCCTCGTACATGCAAGCGTGCATCATTTCTTAAAATAAAAGATCAGGTGCTTACATTAAATATGTTCTCAAGCAGCTCAATAAAGCGTGGATGGTCCTTGAAAGGCTGAAATACCTCCTGTCTGTGCATAATTGCATAAACAACCTGTCCCAATGTAGACAATGAAGCATATGTAACACATGGGAAAAAAAAGAATTGTGTATCACATCAGTAGTATATAGTTGTCAAGTATTGTTGTGTGTGTGTCAGGAGAAACTAAAAACTGATACCTCGGGATTCCGCGGCAATGCATAAGTTAGGATTGCATTCAATATTTCTAGAACAATTCTCAGGAAGTCAGTATAAATATACAATTCCGTTGACTGCAACAAATGGAATCTAGCTTAGCAATACAACATTCTAAAGCTCATATTGAAGCCAGATAGTATTGAAAGTGTGCTGGTAATTAGAAAAAAGACAGTACTACCATATCTTCTGGAAGGCTGTCACCTTCTCTTAAGTCACCATTGCCTATATGCATCTTGTCGTTTTTCTGCTCTGCTAATTTGTTGTACCTGGATTTTAATTTGCATTGAAAAAAAACATAAGAGACCCAACTGGAAGCCTAAGGAAGTTAATAAGCTATTAAGAATTCAATATAATAGAAATATGGCATGGTAGTAGAACAACAGCCACATGAAGCAAGGGACGTACTTGCGTGCGAGCATATCGAAAAGGCTGACCAATCTCTGTGATGAATATGCACTTAGACGGTGGACATGAGGTGCCATGTTCGCCAAGGTTGCAAGACAATTTGTATGTAGATAAACATCCTGTTCCAATTGAGTGTTACATATTGGGGATGACTTCGTGAAACTCACAGGAATTTTTCAATCCCTATTTTCATGTGTTAAATCTCCACAGGTTTGTTGAAATATTTATCAACTAGTCATAACCCGTGCCTGAAGGCACGATAAAATATAAAATTCGAGAGTCCAAAAAATCGAACCCACTATATTAAATTTTTTCAAAATATATTAACTAAAAATTAATTAACTATTAAATGATTAGATATATAATAGAAATGAGTAGTGTGATATTTTTAGGGAGGAAATATATAAATGATTAAATATGTGATAGAAATGAGTGATGTAATTTGACGTTTGAGCCAGACAAAGGGATGATAGGTGAGGTAAGTGATTGGTGATGATTTTGAGAGGGAAAATATGACTGGGATAAAATTCAACAAAACTTCTGTTTTATTATATAGATATGTAAACTAACTACATAATGATTTACATCATAGAAATTATAGTTAACATCAATGACCAAATTGACGGTCACATCCATAAAGCTATCAATAATACTACTGTTAACTCATTTATGTGCTAAGAAGTAGGTCTACAAGGTCTTCTGCATGAAGCTCATTCTTCTCTGATTATTGATTAGACCAATTTTGTAATGCAGGCAAGCAGGAGATACTGGCGCATTACAAAAAAGACCAGCCTAAGTGGTCATAAAATTAAGAAGGATTTGGTGCATCACAACATATGCAAAGTTTCCATTCATCACTTTCACATTTCTAAATCATGAGATCCTGAGATGGAGAAGTATGTTGTTCTCTGTTCCTTTTACTTCTGGTTCATAATTTTTTTTCAAGAAAAAGCAATATCTTCTCTCTTCCAACGGGGTCTGTTAGTGCAAATGTTCTTTTTTCGTTCTGATACAATCCCATCCTTTAATTCATAACAAGTAGAGAACTACAAAATGTCAATACGGATTGGACATTACTTTCAGTTTTAAAGCATTGTCTTGTTCTAATATAAAGGAAAATGACTACAAATCTGGTCCCCGCTAATTGAAGGTGCTAGATGGAGTGAACCAGAGTAAAACCTAACCTTCAGTGTTATTTGCATAAAGCAGTTACCCGTAGATATTTAATCCACAACCACACGGTTGTTTGCCAGCAAATAAATGAATTTTCTAAAACAGGAAAACATTTATTTTAATGATTAATGAGGTCCCAAAGTTCTGCATACAGTCAAGAGATAATTTCAACCCTAGGTTGGTATACAATCTTTTATGAAAGAAAAGATTGAGAATTATGAACTATGAAAGAAATATACAATCCTTTGGTCGGATTTGCAGGACTTCAATTGGAGTTGAGAAAATATTGAGAAATTTTATTTTATGAAACAAAAGAAAATATACAATAAAGATACACAGATATCTACTAAAATTTCTTCAGGACAAATATCTCTTTGTTTTCTCCCTTTATATCATGCCTCGTGAATATTTCTTCAGGTAAATATCTCTCTGTTTCTTCCTGACAAAGATACACAGATATCTACTAAACTTTCACCAAATATAGTTTTTTTTTTATTGGCATCAACAACAATCCTAACAAATGACAATCAGCAAATTGGCAAAATCAGACAACGCAATTTCATAATGAAACATTCAGATGTGGTCTGTTATATGACTCATATCATCCATATCACTTTTCAACTTAAGCAAGAAATCTACCACACCAATCTTAGAAAACTCCCAATATATATTTCATTTTTAGATATCACTTCTCAACTGAAGCAAGAAATCTACCACACCAATCTTAGAAAACTCCCAATATATATTTCATTTTTAGATATCACTTCTCAACTGAAGCAAGAAATCTATCACGTCAATCTTAAAAGGCTCCCAATATATATGTAAACATAGAAATTTATGCTGAAATAGATTCATCAGATCATACCCGCAGCTTAGACAGGTTGTACTTCACAGTCCTTATTAGAATTATGACCATGAGAGAGCCAAGAGACGTTTCATGAAGACGGCGCTCCTGGTACCAAGGGACACTAGGCAGTATCTGTTTCAATAAAAACTTAGAAAAAATGATCCTATGGAGATAGATAAATAAATCCGTACAAACACACTCCTTACCAGCTTGTGAATGCTGGCATTGAAAGAGGAATCCTGACTTAGTATAAGAAGTATAATCAACACCATATAGATTTGATTGGATGTCCTTCTCGAGACATTATATAGCGTTTCCAGCATGGGCAACAACTGTTTATATCATTGTAGAAACATGTGGTAAACAAACTGTGTGGGATTGAGTAACATAAGTTCAATCATACAATAAAACAATAAAAGCATATATTTTATTAAGGCAGATGTTAGATGATTCCCCCCCCCCCCCCGGGCGGGGGGGCCCCTTTTTTTTCTCTTTTCCTGGTAAGAACAAGTGTCATATGGGCATATGTGAAACCACAACAAACGTAATAGCAAACTTCGGTCAAACAGCACACGATACTAATTGAAGTTATAAATGCTCAGAAACCGCAGTCCATAATACATCTAATTGTTAGAATCTAACACACTTTCTGTTCTACTAATCTACAGATATGGTGAGTTTATATCTGAGAAATCTTTTGCAAAAGTTATGTGATGAAGGACTACGCGTGCTTTATTATCTCTTCATATCACGCAGATATTTTTTATCTTTTGCAAAAGATATATATGATGATTGACTATACTTGTTCTAGACTTATAGTACGCAATAACCTCAACCCCAACTAACAGAAAAAAAATGTACTTGCTGCTTCATACCAATGTATCTAGATCAGTCCGCACCAAAACATATTCCAGAAAGTCTGAGTTCCCCTGCACCAGTGAGTAAAGCAGAAGGACAGCAGTCTCATCAGCCAAGCACCTAAGGAGACAGAACAAGGTGCATCATACTCTAGAAACCGAAAGGATAAATACAATTTGATGATGGTGACCTGTACAAAGTATATGTACACTGTACATGTGTGCGCGCCCACGCGTTGAGTGAGAGAGAAAGGGGGGTGGGGGGGCGCAAGAGAGTAGCAAGTTTGTGCGTTTTCAGTTTCTGTTGTGGATTATAACTCAGACTAACAAAACAAAATCAAAATCACCTATTAACATCCACAAAGGTTCATATAGCAACTTTTCATTGTGGTAGTGGAAGGATGAAAAAGAAATGCAGTAAGAGTCAAGAGAAGAATCAATATGTAATACACGTGGCAAAAGTAACATAAGGATCATATAGGCAAGCTCTATCTTGGGTAAACTAAAATAAGAATCTTCTGCAGTAAAATCTTCTTTGTGCTTATGCACGTTGTAGAAGCCGATGATGATCAACTGTTATTAGGGTGGAACCCTATGCTCCAATAGCTTGGATGATGAAATTGAATGCAAGCTCTAATAAACAAAATTTTAAAAATTCCAAACATATGACTAAATTTAAATGTTCAAACAGAGGAAAAATTGGTAAATGTGGCCCAATTTTGAACATCTAACTTTAGTTTATGAGTGCAATTTTCCAGTACCGAGATAGAATAGACACTCACATGCCAAGAGTATCAAAGAGAGAAGCAAAAGGTAGTCTCACAAGTGGGCCATTGTGTGCATTCCCCTCAACATCCACTCGATCAACTGCAACAAGACAAAAACTTAGTTCCAAAAAAATTTGTTGTAGCAATTGAAAGATTACAAGAAAAAGAATCTCACATTCGATATCTCGAGCATTCTCTAAGGCCTTGCAATAAGGGTTTTCAGAAAAACATGTTTCTTCTTTTGGTGGAGAATCTGAACTGGGAATGCCCTTAATTCTATCTTTCACCGATTCCACCAAAACGCATTTACGATAATGAACGAGTACAAGTAAAATATTAAGGCTGCTGTCTGCCAAATGACTTGTTGAAGCTTCACCACTTGAATTGGCAAAGAAACTAAATGGCAATAGCACAAAACTTGCTGCAGTTCAAAATGAAAAAAGCAGCTTAAATTAGAAAATTACGTCAAAGTTCTCAAAACAAACAGAAGCATTAAACAAAAAAATACAAATTATACTTGAAAAAAAATCTGGTATAAAAGCCTGGTGTGATAAGGTGGGGATAGATTTGAAAATAATGGAAATTTAGAAACCCAACAAGAGCATGAGAATGTAGCTGCAAAATAGCAAAATCAGTACTAATTATAGCAAAAACCATGTAATTCTAGCTCTCCATTTTGAACAATGAGATCACAAGATAAAGGAAGAATCAAAATTTAACTACTTTGATCATTCACAAGACTTTTCACCCCATTGAAATGTCTCCATAGAGAGAGTACATATATAAATAAAAATCATGATTATTACTAAACAAAAAACATAAAAAGGATCTCCATACCGGCTGCAGAACCAACTCTCTGCAGGACACCAGGCTGGTTTCCTTCAGAAAATAGGTTATAAGACGAACTGCTTAATGCAAACCGGAGTTGTGTGATGTAATTAAGTAACAGTTTGCGAACAATCAAACCAACCAAAGAACTTTCCTGAAAATAAACCGGCACTTCAACATACCAACTATAATATCAAAAGATTGGCAGTTTTAACTTCAAGGAAAAGTGGGAATCCTTCTTCTTACCTGAGCCATCGCTGCATCAATGAAAGGGTGAACATCGTTTGGTCCCGGTGATGGCCCAGAAAGAAGCTGAGTAGACATTGTGATGAGCATGAAGTTAAGCAGTTCCTGGTGTAGGAGATATGTGTTGGCACTTGCAAAAAGAAATGGGCATAAAATCAGGGAAACAATATAAATGAAGTTGAACATCGAGAAGCATATTGACCAATCAATAACATACCTTACATCTACTTTGGCAATGAAACTCAGCACACTATGCATAACCAGATTTTCGATATTTTGATCTGATTTGAAAGATGGGAAAAATGCCGAAGTTAGGGAATAGAAACACAAATCATCAAACACCCATGTTCCAAGAATGGCCCGAAACTGAAAATTGGAGAATGTACCACAGACCCCCTAAACAGATAGTTCCAAATACTAACAAAACCAAAAACACCTAAAACTGTTCACATCACCCCGAAGAAGCCCCAAAACCCCTGCATTCATTGCCCTATCAAACCTAAGTCAGTCCCAATCCATCCCCCCACATGTAGAATTTCAATTTAAAACCAAAACACGCAATAAACTTCGTATCCAGAACCTCCACCAAGAGTACTCTTGATTTTAGGCAATTGTACATCTCAGAACCGCATCTAAAGATGGTTTTTTTCTTCCTCAAAACCTATAACATTCCTTATACCTTCATGAGAACTAACCCTAAATTTTTTTCACAAAATCAAATCTAACAGGCACAATTTCAGGTTCCTAAAGTCATCCTATCACACTAGATAAAAATCGTTATCTATAAAAACTTGATATCTTTGCTCTCCATTCTCTTCTAAAATATCTAACTAAAGTTTCAATCACATATTAAAAGGGTAACTTTTGGCATTTTCATCAGGTGAGTAGCAAGGTGGATGTATTCTTGTTCTTGTATAACTATACCTATTTTCATGATTGGTAGTACATACAAATGCTATTCATTCGCAGGTACACGGCCTTTTCTATAACAATTAAATTCACCTTAAAATTAAGAGAAAAAGCATTACTAGGAATTCATAATATTAAATATAGTCCACAAACAAAGTCCTGATCTTTCACAATTTTTTAAGTCAATCCTCCAATAAATTTAGTTCATATTGGATAATTAACTCATCCCATTCCCATTCTCCAAAAGAAGTTTGAACCACCTTAATTGATGCTCAGATAATAATGCTTTGCATTCTTTTATTTTCAATACAAAAGCAAAATTTATATCAACTTAATGATCCTTTCTCAATACTTCTTGCATTGTAATTTGTAAATAAATGATGTTATGTTATCATGATTCATGCAGTCCAAACGCCATGTGTTATTTTGGGCTTGAAAGCCTCTCCAAGCATTAACGCTCCCAAACACCTCGCCCCAATGTGGGCCCCACATGGCAACATAAGCAAGTAAGCTCATTGTCACAGTCCCCCCAACCAAGGTGGGACGTGAAATTCTCCCCACCCGTAGATGCAACACCAAAGTTGCATTCGGCTCCACCACTAGAGAGTGGGATGAGAGACCCACACAACTAATAGGGTTGTGACTCATTGTGTCTCACTCTAAACCACTTGTCATGTCCTCGCAACCCAAAAACTGAAACTGTTAAGTGGAGAACNATAATAATAAAAAGGGTTCTAATTGCAAAGACTGTTTCACATCCTCGTACATGCAAGCGTGCATCATTTCTTAAAATAAAAGATCAGGTGCTTACATTAAATATGTTCTCAAGCAGCTCAATAAAGCGTGGATGGTCCTTGAAAGGCTGAAATACCTCCTGTCTGTGCATAATTGCATAAACAACCTGTCCCAATGTAGACAATGAAGCATATGTAACACATGGGAAAAAAAAGAATTGTGTATCACATCAGTAGTATATAGTATGTCAAGTATTGTTGTGTGTGTGTCAGGAGAAACTAAAAACTGATACCTCGGGATTCCGCGGCAATGCATAAGTTAGGATTGCATTCAATATTTCTAGAACAATTCTCAGGAAGTCAGTATAAATATACAATTCCGTTGACTGCAACAAATGGAATCTAGCTTAGCAATACAACATTCTAAAGCTCATATTGAAGCCAGATAGTATTGAAAGTGTGCTGGTAATTAGAAAAAAGACAGTACTACCATATCTTCTGGAAGGCTGTCACCTTCTCTTAAGTCACCATTGCCTATATGCATCTTGTCGTTTTTCTGCTCTGCTAATTTGTTGTACCTGGATTTTAATTTGCATTGAAAAAAAACATAAGAGACCCAACTGGAAGCCTAAGGAAGTTAATAAGCTATTAAGAATTCAATATAATAGAAATATGGCATGGTAGTAGAACAACAGCCACATGAAGCAAGGGACGTACTTGCGTGCGAGCATATCGAAAAGGCTGACCAATCTCTGTGATGAATATGCACTTAGACGGTGGACATGAGGTGCCATGTTCGCCAAGGTTGCAAGACAATTTGTATGTAGATAAACATCCTGTTCCAATTGAGTGTTACATATTGGGGATGACTTCGTGAAACTCACAGGAATTTTTCAATCCCTATTTTCATGTGTTAAATCTCCACAGGTTTGTTGAAATATTTATCAACTAGTCATAACCCGTGCCTGAAGGCACGATAAAATATAAAATTCGAGAGTCCAAAAAATCGAACCCACTATATTAAATTTTTTCAAAATATATTAACTAAAAATTAATTAACTATTAAATGATTAGATATATAATAGAAATTGAGTAGTGTGATATTTTTAGGGAGGAAATATATAAATGATTAAATATGTGATAGAAATGAGTGATGTAATTTGACGTTTGAGCCAGACAAAGGGATGATAGGTGAGGTAAGTGATTGGTGATGATTTTGAGAGGGAAAATATGACTGGGATAAAATTCAACAAAACTTCTGTTTTATTATATAGATATGTAAACTAACTACATAATGATTTACATCATAGAAATTATAGTTAACATCAATGACCAAATTGACGGTCACATCCATAAAGCTATCAATAATACTACTGTTAACTCATTTATGTGCTAAGAAGTAGGTCTACAAGGTCTTCTGCATGAAGCTCATTCTTCTCTGATTATTGATTAGACCAATTTTGTAATGCAGGCAAGCAGGAGATACTGGCGCATTACAAAAAAGACCAGCCTAAGTGGTCATAAAATTAAGAAGGATTTGGTGCATCACAACATATGCAAAGTTTCCATTCATCACTTTCACATTTCTAAATCATGAGATCCTGAGATGGAGAAGTATGTTGTTCTCTGTTCCTTTTACTTCTGGTTCATAATTTTTTTTCAAGAAAAAGCAATATCTTCTCTCTTCCAACGGGGTCTGTTAGTGCAAATGTTCTTTTTTCGTTCTGATACAATCCCATCCTTTAATTCATAACAAGTAGAGAACTACAAAATGTCAATACGGATTGGACATTACTTTCAGTTTTAAAGCATTGTCTTGTTCTAATATAAAGGAAAATGACTACAAATCTGGTCCCCGCTAATTGAAGGTGCTAGATGGAGTGAACCAGAGTAAAACCTAACCTTCAGTGTTATTTGCATAAAGCAGTTACCCGTAGATATTTAATCCACAACCACACGGTTGTTTGCCAGCAAATAAATGAATTTTCTAAAACAGGAAAACATTTATTTTAATGATTAATGAGGTCCCAAAGTTCTGCATACAGTCAAGAGATAATTTCAACCCTAGGTTGGTATACAATCTTTTATGAAAGAAAAGATTGAGAATTATGAACTATGAAAGAAATATACAATCCTTTGGTCGGATTTGCAGGACTTCAATTGGAGTTGAGAAAATATTGAGAAATTTTATTTTATGAAACAAAAGAAAATATACAATAAAGATACACAGATATCTACTAAAATTTCTTCAGGACAAATATCTCTTTGTTTTCTCCCTTTATATCATGCCTCGTGAATATTTCTTCAGGTAAATATCTCTCTGTTTCTTCCTGACAAAGATACACAGATATCTACTAAACTTTCACCAAATATAGTTTTTTTTTTATTGGCATCAACAACAATCCTAACAAATGACAATCAGCAAATTGGCAAAATCAGACAACGCAATTTCATAATGAAACATTCAGATGTGGTCTGTTATATGACTCATATCATCCATATCACTTTTCAACTTAAGCAAGAAATCTACCACACCAATCTTAGAAAACTCCCAATATATATTTCATTTTTAGATATCACTTCTCAACTGAAGCAAGAAATCTACCACACCAATCTTAGAAAACTCCCAATATATATTTCATTTTTAGATATCACTTCTCAACTGAAGCAAGAAATCTATCACGTCAATCTTAAAAGGCTCCCAATATATATGTAAACATAGAAATTTATGCTGAAATAGATTCATCAGATCATACCCGCAGCTTAGACAGGTTGTACTTCACAGTCCTTATTAGAATTATGACCATGAGAGAGCCAAGAGACGTTTCATGAAGACGGCGCTCCTGGTACCAAGGGACACTAGGCAGTATCTGTTTCAATAAAAACTTAGAAAAAATGATCCTATGGAGATAGATAAATAAATCCGTACAAACACACTCCTTACCAGCTTGTGAATGCTGGCATTGAAAGAGGAATCCTGACTTAGTATAAGAAGTATAATCAACACCATATAGATTTGATTGGATGTCCTTCTCGAGACATTATATAGCGTTTCCAGCATGGGCAACAACTGTTTATATCATTGTAGAAACATGTGGTAAACAAACTGTGTGGGATTGAGTAACATAAGTTCAATCATACAATANCACCAATCTTAGAAAACTCCCAATATATATTTCATTTTTAGATATCACTTCTCAACTGAAGCAAGAAATCTATCACGTCAATCTTAAAAGGCTCCCAATATATATGTAAACATAGAAATTTATGCTGAAATAGATTCATCAGATCATACCCGCAGCTTAGACAGGTTGTACTTCACAGTCCTTATTAGAATTATGACCATGAGAGAGCCAAGAGACGTTTCATGAAGACGGCGCTCCTGGTACCAAGGGACACTAGGCAGTATCTGTTTCAATAAAAACTTAGAAAAAATGATCCTATGGAGATAGATAAATAAATCCGTACAAACACACTCCTTACCAGCTTGTGAATGCTGGCATTGAAAGAGGAATCCTGACTTAGTATAAGAAGTATAATCAACACCATATAGATTTGATTGGATGTCCTTCTCGAGACATTATATAGCGTTTCCAGCATGGGCAACAACTGTTTATATCATTGTAGAAACATGTGGTAAACAAACTGTGTGGGATTGAGTAACATAAGTTCAATCATACAATAAAACAATAAAAGCATATATTTTATTAAGGCAGATGTTAGATGATTCCCCCCCCCCCCCCGGGCGGGGGGGCCCCTTTTTTTTCTCTTTTCCTGGTAAGAACAAGTGTCATATGGGCATATGTGAAACCACAACAAACGTAATAGCAAACTTCGGTCAAACAGCACACGATACTAATTGAAGTTATAAATGCTCAGAAACCGCAGTCCATAATACATCTAATTGTTAGAATCTAACACACTTTCTGTTCTACTAATCTACAGATATGGTGAGTTTATATCTGAGAAATCTTTTGCAAAAGTTATGTGATGAAGGACTACGCGTGCTTTATTATCTCTTCATATCACGCAGATATTTTTTATCTTTTGCAAAAGATATATATGATGATTGACTATACTTGTTCTAGACTTATAGTACGCAATAACCTCAACCCCAACTAACAGAAAAAAAATGTACTTGCTGCTTCATACCAATGTATCTAGATCAGTCCGCACCAAAACATATTCCAGAAAGTCTGAGTTCCCCTGCACCAGTGAGTAAAGCAGAAGGACAGCAGTCTCATCAGCCAAGCACCTAAGGAGACAGAACAAGGTGCATCATACTCTAGAAACCGAAAGGATAAATACAATTTGATGATGGTGACCTGTACAAAGTATATGTACACTGTACATGTGTGCGCGCCCACGCGTTGANACTCCCAATATATATTTCATTTTTAGATATCACTTCTCAACTGAAGCAAGAAATCTATCACGTCAATCTTAAAAGGCTCCCAATATATATGTAAACATAGAAATTTATGCTGAAATAGATTCATCAGATCATACCCGCAGCTTAGACAGGTTGTACTTCACAGTCCTTATTAGAATTATGACCATGAGAGAGCCAAGAGACGTTTCATGAAGACGGCGCTCCTGGTACCAAGGGACACTAGGCAGTATCTGTTTCAATAAAAACTTAGAAAAAATGATCCTATGGAGATAGATAAATAAATCCGTACAAACACACTCCTTACCAGCTTGTGAATGCTGGCATTGAAAGAGGAATCCTGACTTAGTATAAGAAGTATAATCAACACCATATAGATTTGATTGGATGTCCTTCTCGAGACATTATATAGCGTTTCCAGCATGGGCAACAACTGTTTATATCATTGTAGAAACATGTGGTAAACAAACTGTGTGGGATTGAGTAACATAAGTTCAATCATACAATAAAACAATAAAAGCATATATTTTATTAAGGCAGATGTTAGATGATTCCCCCCCCCCCCCCCCCC